CCAATTTCCCCTTACATGCTCCTTGTAAAAACACTCGAACATAATAGTTGCCTCAACTATCCTCTCACTTTCCATCCACAACATACTCTTTATCTTCACATGGATTCAGAGGAAAGACGAATCATGTGAGGACACAACTCATTGAATTACTGATTACCTTGTGAACCCAACCCTTTCCCAAATGGCAAAACAAAAGATTTTCATACCTTCTTTTGATTTCCAAAGCTTTCGGATAAAGGGTAAACCACTTAAACTCTTTAAGATTACCCTGCAAAAACATGGTGTTTGTCCTCAAATTCTAAAATGGATAAGTCATTCCCTTATTTTGGCCGTTAGGACAGACAGTAAGTTTGCTGTGGATAGTGACTGCTCATTGAAGTTCCCAGTTCCTCTGGAGTGCCCCAAGGCTCGGTCCTTTAGGGGCCCCTCTGTTTTCCTTCTATATATCAAAACAAGTTTACCATCTTTCTGCCTCAAATCCCAAGTCAGATTTTTTGCCAGGACGACATGCTGTATACCTAACCATCAATTCCTCCTCAGAACCCCCCAACTCTCCAAACATGATCTAGACAATATGGTTTGTGGGAGAAGCCAGGGGGAATGGAGTTTAACCCTTCAAAATGCCAAGTCATCCCTTATCAACCAAAAAAAAAAGACCAAAAATTAAACAACAAATATATGCTCCATGGCCCAAATCCCTGAGTCTTGTTACAAGCTAAATATCTCGGATAGATTTCTCACCACTCACCTTAAAATTTTTAATTACCACCGATAATTCCGAATAACTTCCAATGCAAAACAGATCCCTTGGGGCTTTATTAAAAGAAATGTCATCACTTAAAAATGAGAAAGTAAAAGAACTAGGCATAAAGTCCCTGGTCCGCCCACAGGTTGAATTTATGCCTCACTATTTGGTCTCCCTTATACTAAAACCAAATATTGACAAAGTTGAGAATGATCCGAGACGTGCAATAAGATGGGGTTAAAAGGGATTTCCCCCTCAACTCTGTGTCCAGCCATGCGGAAAGAACTGGGCTGGCAATCCCTTGAAACATTCGCAAACCCGGGACTGTTTAGACTGAATAATGTTTTATAAGATATACCATCCTATTGAACAATATTAAATTCTCCCAACTTTTATTTCAAACCCCCACATAATTAAAAACCAGAACATATGCAATCCCTTATCCCTACGTCAAATAAGGTATCCTCCGACTACCATTAATTCCTTTTTCCCTTTCATAGCATTATATATGGAATAAACTTCCCTAGAAACATTGCCACCCTGCCCAACCCTGAAGGTCCAGTTCAAAAGGCAGTGGGGGTTTGCAGTACAGTCTTACTTCCCAGTGGTTAAAAACTATTTTAAATCTTTACATCTTTGCGTTTCGCTATTAAATTTTAACCCATGCTAGAATACATTTCTTCAGTCTCACCTTCCAAGCCCATGGGTCAATGTTTGGGACCTTTTTTTCCCTTTTTCCCCTTTTTTAGTTTTTCTCTTCACCTTTTACTAACAATTTCCGACTGCACTAAATTTCCTGCCTTTAAAACACTCTAAGAGGGGTTGGGCAGTTATCCAGAATAGATAGATAATAGATAGCTTGAAATCATAAATTACGAAAAGTAAGGGTACTTATGAAAATTCTGGGTAAAAACTGATTTTAAAAGTTTATTCTGCATCTGAAATTAAACACAGCCATATTCAAAATACAAAAAGGTTCACTAGTTAAAAATCCAGGTCAGCTGGTAATCGAAATTTGCATGGGGTTATGTCAACATTGTTTGTCGTTTCCCCAAATTTCTGTAGCTCCAAAAAAAAACAAAAGAAAAAAAGTTAAAAAAGTTCAAAACTAGGTCTTTTTAAAATCTAAGGTCAGACCTTTTATACCAATTGGGGCCATGATTTTTGAACAATAAAAGAATAACATACATTATAACGATTTATTTTTCCAACCAAAACTTTTTTTGGCCATTATTGTTTCAGGACAAATATTTTTTTTAATTCGACATCCAGGCATCCCAAGGCATTGGCAATCTTTTTCCAGATTTCATGGGGTCATTATTTGACCGATCCTTTAGCGTCAATATGTGTTCGGACATTTGAGGGTTTATCTTGCTGTGTCACAGATTTGGTTTCCGTTTTAGTGGAATCTGAAAATGAATAGCTGCCGCCCGCAATTTGAAAAAGCAAAGTGTTCCAAGTGTATATTAAGTGTGAGTGTTTTATGAAACCTATCACTTATTGCGCCTTTCGAAAAGGAAATGGTCCATAATAAATAAAAAGGTGGCGCAATATAATTTGCCTTCTTTTAAACGATTTTTATTCCGTTTTTTGTAAAAAAATGTTTAAAGTAAACTTTAAAAACCGATATTTAAATTGTAAGTGAAATTGTGTACCTTTCAAGTGATTAATTCAAAGTGAGCTTATTTTACAGAACCGTTAGGTTTTAAAATTTGTATAACTTCCATCTTACTCAAAAAATAGTAAAACAAATCTTTAAAGTGAGATGGTCAATTTTAAGTTCACTGAATATGGATTCAACTTTTTGTCAAGTTAGTAAGTTTGTTTTAAATGATTCAGTGTTGGGACAGAATACCAATAAATGAATGTTCATATTGTATTTTATTTTAACATAATTATTTTTTTCTAATTATACGAGTACTGCTTGAGAATCTGTTTCAAATTTTATGCATACTTTTAATGAGATTCATTAAAAAATATGCAACAAAAGGGTTTAGAATGTTTTAGATGGCATATCTACTGCCACCAGACTAATAGCTTTAATTTAGGCCCTGATTATTATGTGGAAAAACTAGTTTAGTAAGTAGTATATCACCCAGTTGCATATTTTCCATTGAATTGTGATATATTTTAAAAACAAACTAAAACAAACAGAGTAAAAAACCTATCTTTCTTCTTACCGAATGATATCTTGAAACCATATCGCCGTCACTTTTAACAGATAAAACTGCATTTATATATTTCATTTATGCACTATTTTTTTTTTTTTCAGAGGCAAGTGTTTTTGCTACACACATTTGATGTAGAGACGACTTATATTTCAAAGGCTCTTACGTTAACGCTCGTTTGCATAATTACTCCCTATAATAATGAGATGACTTGGTACGTGGACAATGAACTCTACGCTGGCTGTTTTTTTAGGGAACTGTGGTTCTTCTTTAAACAAACCATATACATTTGATTTCACTTTTGATGAAACTGCAGAGGTTTTCAAACTCACTATAGATTCTGTGGATTCTTCTCATGCTGAACTTTTATTTGCTTGCGACGATGGAAATGTGAGAAAAACAATTTCTTTCAATGTGACAACAGGTATTCTTCTTTTATTAATGGATAAAAAATAAATAAATTTCTTGCATTTATTCGTAAAAGGAAATTGTGTATAACCTAGGAACACCTTTAAAGGATACATGTAGGCTGAATAAAAAAGCGTTTTGCTAACAGTTAAAGCTCCTAAATGTGTGTATATTTTCTCACCATAATGCATGTAATGTGTCAGGAACATACACATATTATTATTATTTGATCAAATAATAAAATAGCATGATTGTCTATTTATTTAAAGGGCTATTTCTAATCTTTGCTATATTTCTGAAGTGACTTTATCGTATCTAATACACGATGAGGTACATTGAGGTCCCCCCTCAACCAGTTAAGCTTTAAAATTCTCCATATGACCTTTTGAAAGTGAGGGGTGATTGAAAATTTCAAAAAAAACTAAACTCAAAAATATTGTTTAAGCAAAAAATAAATTTTCTATTTACATTTAAATAATCCAACTTTGATTGAGGTTGTAACTTAAAACTAAAATAAGTTTTTAAAACAACGTGTTTAATGGCGTGACCTTTGAAAATTTTTTTTTTGCAAAGTTATATTATAGCAATGGTATTGGTAAAAGAAATGATCACTTTCTGTTTCGCAAATTTAAGGTTTTGAAAAAGAATCATTATCTAGAGTATTACCACTTAAATTTGGTTAAGGATTTAGCACCATGGTCCCAAAATTGGCCCCCGTCCAAGGGGTTCATTGATTTTCCTTATAAATAAACATATTGCAAAATATAGATTTTAATGCAAAACGTTTTCATTATTGTCAAAGAAAAAGACTGAGCAGGTGTCTTTAGCATTCGTACTGTTAGCCCATGCTAGCCCAACTTCTATCAATCACTACAAACATAATCAAAATTAAATTCAATGACATTAATAATGACTTATATCTTGAGTACACTTGCAATTAGTAATCAGTCGAATAAGCTTTTCCTGTAAGGTTATTTACCAGATACATGTATGTTAAATCCATACATTTGCATGATTTTCTCATTTTATTTTTTATAGATGTCTAAGTAGGTATTTCAGTATTTTTTTTATTTAATTTAACATCTGGTATAGCAAAAGTCAAACTTTTTAATCAGTGCTGGAGCCATGCATTCAACATTTTCCTAATGTCAATAACTGTATATTGAATATAAGCATAACCTATGAAAATATGAACATACCAACTGATAGCTGTTATACACTGAATCTTAACTTGAATATTAATATATCCAATGAAATTATATATTTTACACTTTCCCGTTATGATTATGTTATTCAAACAGTAAAATGAATTTAAGAGGTATGAGTGGTAAGTATGGTGAAGATAGAGCAAACATAGCATCACATATCTCATGCCTAGCTCAGGTATCTAAATTCCATAAAGATTCGTATTGAATCTTAAAAAGAATAATTGATGAGTATTTTTGAGAAGAGCCTTAACATTAAATTGAAGATATTCATAAATTTATTATAGGGTGTTACACAGCTTTTACATTCCTATTGAGAACATCCTAAAGAAGCTCAACCTTAAGTGAATCCTACAGTTAATGTCAAATGTCAAATACAGACAACTTAATCCATTTATTTTTAATCGCGAGAAAAATTCTCTTTCAACTTAATAATCAATTACATAGAATCATACTTACAAGTGTTGTACTCCGTAACAAAAAGTAGAATAAACAAACAAAAACAGTTTCGACCAATAATAAAAGCCCCACCGACGTGATGAGCCTTCGTAAACACATATGGAATTTTTGATGCAAGATTATGGTGTGACACATTATATACAGATGTCGCTTCTTTTTAAATGACGCAAAAAGATACTTGATTGAAAATTATCATCAGCAAGATATATTGCAAACTCATTGAAGAACAGAACTGACGGCAAAAAACAATATGGTCATTCTAAAATAGCATACATTTTTTATATACAAAACAGTTCATGTACGAAACTCTATTTTTATTCAAACTGTTTCGAAATCAAACAGATACAAAAAATAACTGCAAAACAACTTAGTAAATTTTAATCTAACACATTATGAACAATGCTAACGGTGGCACAGAGGTGACATGTGTCTGTGTTTTTATTTATCTCACGCGCACGAGTTACTAAGTCGTACACACGACATAATTAAGTGGTGTGAATAAGATACTCTGTCGTGCACATGGGTTACTAAGTCGTTCGCACAACATAATAATTTAGTCGTGCGCACGATACATAATGTTGAGCGAACGAGTTATTTAGATACTTCCCAGTGCATATTCTTTTCAGGCCGTTAGAAGGTACGTACTGAATAACCCTATCACAGGATGGGACCTATTTTTACGGGAGAAAAAAAGGGCTATAACTCAGTCAAAAATAATGTCTAATTTGTGACTAGTTGCAAAAAAACAATGTTGTATGTATTAGTTAAACAAGGAATTAAATTAAAGACTTAAAAATTCATACATAATTATTTATCTCTTTCGCACCTCATAGTCACTCGTGAGAAAAAAAATAATTATCTCGTGCCCACGACTTAGTAGCTCGTGTGCACCACATAGTACCTATTGCGCACGAGATAAATTAAAACACACACCTTTTTGCCACCGTAAAAATGACATAAATTATGTAGTACTCAAAATAACGCAGTAAAGACAACTTCAAGTAAAGCAATATACTCAATCTAAGTGCAAGCATTGAATAATTGGTTTCTGGTGAAGCGCAAACTACAGGTATTGCCCTTGTTCCAGTCTCATTATTAACCTTATTCTGTAGTTGCACGAACCAAGTTTAAAAGTTAAACTATTTGTTTAAATACTCTAATGAGTACAGCAGATTTTGTAAAAATATGTATTGTTCCTTTTGTTTTATGGTTGCACCTCCTACAAATTGTTATGAAACTTTACGAATTAAAAGATCATGACCCTTGGTGATCATTTTCAGAGAGCTTGAGACCTGAATGTAATAATTGAATCAGTTGCTGGATTGCCATGGTTTAAAGTTGGATGAGTGTCTATAAAATCTTTTTATTTTCCTTTCTTTATTTTTCTAAAAGGCTAACGTTTTTCAAGTATATATGGTGAAAGAATTCTATCAGTATGTCGGTTTCAGAATATTTACATTTGAATATGCAGATGTATAGTCTTTATTGAAAATTGACCATAAGGGTTAAAATTAGCAGGGTGGTAACTGTTTATTTTTGGTTTTACATGTACACCCGTTATAAGCATTTGTGTGGTGATAAGATTACATTATTCAAAGTTATCGAAATAATTGATAATGGTAAAGGAAACCCAGCTTTTAGAACAAATTAATTACATATCTGTACAGAATCAGTCATAATGAAGTGATAGAAGCATTATTTCGTTTCAGGTAAAGGACAAAACCGTAATTCTACCCCAATAAACAATCAGACAACAGGTATCGGAACAAAACTTACAACTGTTCATTCTAGCATTTCTTCAGTGTCAATCCTACTAAAATCAACACTTGTCACCCCTGTGTCGAAAACAGACAAGCAATCAATTGCCTCTTATTTTGTACTGTTTATTGCTTTGGCTGTTGATGTTTTAATATTTTCTATGGTTATGCTGTTTTATTGATTTTCCTTCCTTATAAAATCAAGAATGTGGGAAATCGTGAATCGTCATTTATTCTGTCCAGGATAAAATGAAATGTATAAAGTCAACAGATAAACCGTCAAGTATGTCTTTAAAGGGATATAAACTTCATTCACGATATTGGAGAACATATGTTTTTTGAAAGGTATTGGGACATGTATAACATAAAACCAAGATAAATATTCCATTAATATCATTTTAATAATAGTGTTATGTTGTTGTTGCTGCTGTTGTTGTTGATGTTATTTGTTTTGTTTTATTTTTACCCGAGTACTTTCAATTGCATATAAATTTGATAGATTTCACCCAGACGTGTATATAACAATGATTAATTTCGAAGGTATCATATTTAAATCTGTTTATTTCCGACCAAAATTATATACAATTTTGACCAATTCTGCTCAGTAGTATACACGACTCTGATTATTTTCGCCCGGAACATTATAAACGACTTTTATCAATTCCATTCAGAATAATATACATTAGTGTATATACTTTGACCGTTTCCATGCAAAATAAATTTATTTTACAAAAATCATATAAAAATTTAATTTATTTTACCCTGAACAATATGCACTGTTTATCTAACTCCGCTCTAAATAGTTTATATATTTCATTGATATTGTCAATATTTTATACTCATTAACATAGCCAATAATAGAAGCTATCAGTTGGCATGCACTTATAGAATATTGAATCTTCTGATTCAATTATTAAGTTCTGACAATAGTCGAACCTGCAGTCGGTTTACTATTTATCCCTTGAGAATTAGGAAATAGATATCAATTCTGAGTGCATTGTTGTAGAATAATGCACGGTTTGAGTTCAAATGCGTAGTAATATAATCACGAAGGCCGATAGGCCTGAGTGATTAATTACAAAGCATTTGAAAGAAAAACGTGCATTATTATACAATAATGCACGAAGAATTAATATCTATTTCCATTCTAACACGTCAAGAAAAATATAATTATTATTATAAAGTTGGACTTTATGTTTGGTGGTTAAATTTGTTTTCGCATCAGAGTTTCCAATAGAAACGTTCTTTAAAGGCCGTTCCAGTGGGTTGAAAAAAACTGTCGTTAAATCTACCGTGTGTAGAAACATGTTGAGAATAACGAATTTTGAAAACGCTGATAAAACTTTGTTTGTTTATTTTATTTCAGTCTATAATTTTTCAAGCGAAATGCAAATTATTAAAAGTGAAATAAATATATAACTTAACTCGTTTACGACATTATAATAGCGTACTTCATTTGATTGTTTTGCACGTGCTGTTTGGCGCTACATTGTGACGTCACTTAAACAAAACTTTAAACGTCTGTACAGCGTTAACGACTGAATTAAAGATATTGGTGTTCGAGTTCATTTTCTTAGTTAGACCATTTTCTTTCATTCTAGATAGTTTTCACAACAAAATTCGACAAAAAAGTATTTTTATTTATCAGATTTTTCAAACAAAATGGCGCCCACAATGTGAAAATACACAGGGAGATAATAAGAACGGCGAGTGCATTGTTGTAGAATAATGCACGCTTCGGGCCTTCTTTGTTTATATAGAAAAAATTCCGATAGTGTTAGAATTTACATTTTGTAGTCATTTTCTCCTTTGTTTAATTTGAAATTCAATGTAAATGTTTATTCAATATAGTATTGTAAACTTTAACAATATTAACACAATTCATTTTGGGAAGGAACCGAAAGCAATGAAAGCTTAATAGTATTATTTTCTATTTTCTGATACATTGATCTCGAAAAAATCATGCAAATGAAAATCATAATTTCTTTTTACAAAAAGGAGGCAGTATTTATTTTGACTGGTACGTTTGAAATAAGGGAATAAGTTACATTGTTTATCCCTTAACCATTTATACAATATCTTACCACAGCATAAAATGATATGTATTATGTATATTCAACTATAAATTTACACTATAAAACGTTGATATTTCGCATAAACTGTCTTTGACAGTCAGACATGGCTCCTTTCTTAAAGAAACGGATGCTTCAATAAATACTGTATCTAATAAAGATAAAAGTTTTCTTCATGTAAAATTATCTTCTGAATAACAAAAACAAAACAAAACATACTTAGAAACCCATTTAAGGCCCTCTTTTTCCAAAACATCTGAAATCCTACCAGTGTAAGATTAAAAAGCGATTAACCTCTTTGCAGAATGTCAAAGTTTGCCCGGTTCTTATGGAGGCTATTCGTTGCCAAAAATCCAGCCTTTGAAACTTGACAATGCATGCTTCGGTTCTACTAAACAGATTAGTAAAAATCTAATTGTCGATCCGAGAGTTACATACTGGCACTGGTATTAAGCATTTTGATTATCTCGATTTGATAAAATTAAAGTTGTAAACATGCAACTTAGATAAATTGCAAACTGTATTTATAAATGTATAACTTCAAATTTGCGACATGTAGAAATGTAAATGATAGAACGTACACAATACGTTTGATACTGTGTACCACGACGTTGAGAATGTAACTGCATCAACTTGACACACTCAGGTTTACAACACCACACTTTCCTTTTACATTCTTACGCGATTAAACGATTTTGCAACTTCCGTATATGGAATTATCACGGAAATAGACGAAAATTAATAGGCGGAGCCAATTTTCACGAAAGCAGAATATAAAGAGAGGCAACTCTTGCTGGTACACAAATATTTCAAATTATATAGAAACTGTTATAAATTTCACATACATCAACTGCATTACAGTTATTCAAGTAATGCAAAATTGGTTAAGATATAATGTAACAATGTAACAACGTTTATACTGATAATGAGCATAATAATATGCAAAAACTAAAGTTGGTGAATTAACATAAGGGAATGTTTCCCATATATAATGACACACACCACTATTTGTTGACATGAACGATAGGGTTTGTGTGCCTTCAAACGTTACACGGTAGTACTCGTACGCATATCTTTTACATTCAGCAAATAGTACTAGAATGCGATACATGGAAGTCACTTTTGGCAACACGAATAAAGAGAACTGAACAGTAAGCCTGTGCCTTCTTTCTTTAAAGGACTATGTTGGGTTGTAGAAAAACCCATATTTTTGACCAAGTGTATAACCACGGAACAATTCAGCGTTTACTATCGATAATTCCGTTGTATAACCAAAAACTTGTGAATTTGTCCCATTTTAATGTTGAAATAAATATTCAGTGTATCCTAGCATCTCTGTTTACCTCCATTGGGAGGTATTTTGAGTCATAGGATGTGATTTAGCCTTTTATTATTAAATATATGTAAGCTGACGTAGGTTAAGGTCTTTTTATGCATTGTACTGAATCAATAACAACTCTAAAATCTGTCTATAAACGCTGTCAAGAGCTGTTACCAGGCATTGCTGTCTATCTGATCAAAAGCAGATAACTATTTTTATGTACATGAAATACTTCACAGAATATTTATTAAGTTTTGTAAGTAATGGCTTTCTAAGAGATAAATAAACAAGTTATACATAAATTGATAATCGACATACATACCTTTGGACTCATTTAAATATTATTATTGAAAAACAAACTGGTAAAAATTGTAAAATATATCTATACAGTATGGTAAAAATAAAAAGTTATGTACGAAAGGGTAATACAACTTTGGTTATAATTTTACTATTGTTAAAAGTTTGTTGTTGTCCAGTCATACGCTAGAATTAAGGATACTATTGTAATAGTAGTAAGGTAGCAGCTTAACTGTAAATGTTACTCATTCCTATGCAAATTGGAATACCCTCAGTAAAATTTATTTGTCGTTGAATATAGTCTTATCAATAGTTTTTACTTCCTTGAAAAATATTTAACCTCAGACAGTGGTATCTTCAACGTTTTAAAACTTATATGCCTATAATCCTTTAAAGCCCGCTGATGTTGATTGTATAAAGGCATAGAATGGCAATCATGCAAGTGAATTATGTTTGGGGAATAACTAAACACCTAAAAGTTGTGGTAAACGGAAACTACGTTGCTTCTTGTCGCCGACGGTAAATGCCGAAAATGAGCGGATAAATACGTTTATTTACAATGATGTAGTGGGCGGGAAAATGGGCGGAGCTTATTTTATCTCCTATTGAAAAACGTGTAAAGCTGGATTATGCTGATCCGAATCATGATGGTTTGACAATGTAAAGCTAAGAAAGAACTTCTGTTTTGTCGGCGTATACACGAACAATGAGTATTCGAACACTTGGTATTGCTTCTATCAGCAAAACAGTTAATGTTTTGTCGTTTAACAAAATGTATTTTGTTGAAATGCATGTTTACAATGTTAAATCGGCAAACTCAATTCAAGAATGCAATATTGGAGTTTACATACAAAGAAATACAATTGTATTTTGTCCATTCACAAACTGTTCAATTCAGATATACAAGACTGGATTTTTGGCAACGAATAACCAACAATTTTTAAAATGCTGCTCACTTGGAAACCAAAAGTTTCTGAAAATCATTTGCTACAGACACTATATCCTACCATTGAAGAATCCAGTGCGAACGTCATGCCCTATTTAATAAATGTTATCAAAGCAACCCATATCCTTGACATTAGTCCTACGTTTTGTTATGGGAAACATTACCGCATCAAATATTACGCATACAGGTCAACAATAATGTATTTGTATTATAGTTTTGGGACCTTTCTGTTGAAAATGTTAAGAGTTAAATCGTATAATATGCATGCACAGTTTGTTAACTGGAGTGCATGGATTAGTTACCCGCACTCAAATGCATGCCTGTTGACTGGCTCTTTTTACCCCCAAAACGAAGTTTGGGGGGGGGGTATATAAGAGTCACCCGGTGGTCGGTTGGTCAATCGGTCGGTAAGTCAGTCCTTTGCATTTTCCTTGTCTGGAGCAAAGCTTGAAAACTACTGCTTGGAATTCAAAACAGCTTCATACAATGGCCAAGCACAATAAGGGGAAGTGCAGTGCACAAAAAAAAATATAACTATATTTAAAATAATAACA